AAGAGCGTATTCAGCGGAAGATCGATTCGATCAAGGAGGAAATTAAAAGAGAGATCGCGGAGAAACGACGCATCAGGGACATCGAGGAGAACAATGCGAAATTCGATGAACTGCACGAGCAAGAAGACGACGATGACGAAGAGCAGGCATTGGAGGCTGAAGCGGCTGACAAACGCGACGTGTCCAAGAGATCTGTTCGAAATGCCGGTAAGATTGCGGTACGGGACAAAGCTGAGAAGCCGTCGATAAAACGAAAGAAGAGGCAGGGTGACAATGGTCCAGAAAAGGTGCAAGGTGCGAGCGATGCAAATTCGAGCAAGAAACCTCGTCAGACGACGGTGAAGAAACGATCGATGACGAAATCGCAGTCGCAAACCCCGATTGTGAACGAGGTGCCGATAAAACGTCAATACCCGCGAGAGATATTTCTGGTGAGGAACGACCGGAAGAAGAAGAGACGGAGAAGATCCAAGAACCCTAATCTGATTTCGGATCAGCGCACCGCCAAGTTGGAGGATAATCTGCCAGGTGATTTTCCTTTGGACTCGAGCTTGCGCGGGGGCCTTGGTGATGCAAAGGTGAAAGAGAGAAATTAATTACAGATGGTTAGCTCCTACGAGTATCACTAAATAAACGATTCCATCGACAGTCGAGCGCGAGGAAGGTTAACGAAGACGAGAAAGCAATAGCGGAACACGAATCCATGTTGGAAAAGAAATCCGGCTCTGTGGCCTCACTGACGGGAAGTAACGAAGTGCTGGGTCCATTAGCGACAGAATACGGAGATGCGTTCGGTGGTTTGAACAACGAACCCGGGGTGGCGTTAGCTAGGTTTAAGAGAATCAAGCGAGTCCTTCGTCCTCCAACTTCTAAGATGTAACATCGGGTTGAAAAGGGTTACGAAATTTGAGGTTGACGTCGTGTGTAACGATATTAATTTAATAATTAGTAAGCAATAGATATATCGATTAACCGTAGCGATTCACTGCCAGAGTACGTTGCAGGTTAATAGCAGTCCTCTTGGTATTCAAGATTCGGAAAATAAGCATAATCGTTGGTAGATAAATACTCGGTTTGGTAGCCGGTATATGACCATTCGTCGGTACGTTTCAGCTTCCCCGATGCCATAGAATAGAGTCCGTTTCAAAAGTTTTCCCCTCCGATGCCATACAGCGTCTTGCCTTTGAAGCAAAAGTACACGTTAGATGGCGCTTAGATCGCGTACACGCTCGAACCTTTAACTTGTAAACGAAGTATGCTTTTACGTTTTAATCTTTGAATGAGAACCACCGATTATTCCGTCAGAGAATCAGTCGACGCTGCATTCGATCGACTTTGTTAATAGTACGAACGACGCGAGATGAAAGAATGTAGCAATAAATCAAGATTCATATATCGATGCGTTTATGTGTGCAAAATGATTTCGATTACCTGCCCATGTCCGTCGCCATGCGGTTCCGTGGCGCCACTGAAGGAAAAGAGAGAAAGAAAGACAGGAGCCTAGGCAAATACACAGATAAGCATTCGTAAGACGTTCAAGATTTAATAACAAAGATACGATTAAACACGAAGAAGACACATAGATCGTTAACCCTCTTTTTGTGCGCTTACATTACGGGGGAGACTTTGACTTTAAACTCTCGGCAAGCGAGTACCGCCGTCTCCTACTTGTATCATCCATCTCTCCTTATCACCGTTCTACTTTACAACAATATGAAACAATTATTTACACATCGACGGGCAGAAGGACCACGGTGTCGTGTGAGAAATGCTGAATGTGCCGTTTTTTCTTTTTCTTATCGTTCCCCTTTCGTTTCTCTTTCATTTTCGTACGTGCTTCGCGTCGACGTCCGCCATGTTTAGGATGCGCAGTAGCGCCGTGCTATCTGCCCGAGTCGATCGAGATCGAAGTTCCGCTACAAGACACGTGACTCGCGAGAATTCGATCTCGACTCGCTCGATGGATCGATCGCGTTTAAACTCGCTCGAACGTTTCTCGAAGTATTTTCGCGTATTTTTAGAAAGGAGTTACTGTTCGTAGGCTCTGCGAGTCGTGGAAAAGTAGGCTTAGCGAAGGGAGCTTGAAACGGAGTTCGAATTAACGGGTTATCACAGAGAAAGTATCGCCACTTTCTGTCAGCGGGGGCCATTCTCGCGAGTTTAGACGCAATATTCAGTGCGCATCCCGATGAAGGCTCCTTCGTCGCGTCTCTGATCGCAGACTGACTTCGTGGATTGGTCGTGCGAGAGCGTGTACAGCGCGCTGCCGATCGTTAATTAGGTAGGTTAAAGACGAACATCAGTCTGACAAGAAGGCTCGTTGGTGAAACGTTCAGGCACCGATCGTTTACAAAAATCGTCGCGTCTCTGTTCCGCTGTCCTTTCTCGATTCTGCTTCGTTGCAGCTTGTACCGCCGTTGGATCGCGATCATCGCAAAATCTCCATCCAGGAATTGACATTATTATTATTATTAGTATTATTATAATTATTATTAATATTATTATTTATTTGTTTGTTTTTCGTTCGTTTCCACGCGCGGTGGAAAGTCGATGTACGTTGGACTCGCGCTGATTCGCGGAACGGAAATCGAGTAAGGACGAAACGAGCGCAACGGTGTGAATCCGAGCGTGAAAGCGCTATAATGTGAGCGTACGAAGGCGACGCAGGTCAGGACGAGACGAGGCGAAAAAGCCGCGCGGCTAAATCGTTAAGATGAGAAACCGGATCGTTTCGGTGCGGTGGATAACTTTTTCGACGGATACTCTGCTTGGTACTTAGTGCATGTCGATAGAGACTTTCTTTTTATTTAAAAAAATCGATGTCTGAGAAATGGTGTTCACAATAATATGGTACAACAACGTAACGGCATTACAGACTTAGAATATGCTCGCGCGTACACGCGCGCGCGTACGCGTACGCATGCGCGTATACGCGCCAACATATATGTACACGTATATATGTATGTATATGCGTAATATTTATAATAATATAGGTAATTCTTCTTTACCACAATAACATGGCTATATACAAATATTACAATGTTTCCTTCCTTTCGTTTTCTCTTTTCTAAAATCCTCGCGCGCGCGCGTTCGATTCTTTCTACCCCCAGCCCCCCCTCCCCACGTGTTTGCCCAGTTTTTCCAATTTCTTCTCGTCGTCCTGGTAACTTGCGAAACGCACGGGGTCGCGATATTTCCTGGCACTGGCTTCGTAACGCACTTGCCACGCAGAGACCAAAACCGATTCTTTATCCGGGTACAACGATAAATCGCCGCGTTAATCATCCTAATTACCATTCTATTTCTCTTCGCGAAAGAGCGTGCGTGTATACGTATGTGTATGAGAGAGAGAGAGAGAGGGGGGAGGGGGAGAAAGTCAGTTAGAGAAAGAGAGAGAAAGAGAGAGAGAGAGAGAGAGAGAGAGAGAGAGAGAGAAAGAGAGCAAGGACCGTGGTTTATTTTACGTGCGCAAAATGTGGATATATAGAGAGAAAAAGGTGCAGAAACATGGACGAAGGAGAGACAGAGAAGGAGAGGATGCCTGGAATTTCACGCAGGACTCTGCCAAATATCGTGGCCACGAACGGAAGTGGCTACAGACGTCGTCGAGTGTTGACTCTCGATGGCGGTTTCGATTCTATAGCAGACCAGCAACCTAACCCCTCGACACCGGAAATTTCGATGCAATCGCTGTATCTAGGCAACTGGAATCGTAGACTATGGAAATTCTCAACGAAACAAGATTCAGCGCGAGCTGAGTCACCGATCATCCGCGAATTTTCCCGATGTCGAGGAGGTTCTCGTCTACGAAATACGCTCGTCTTTTGATACATGGTGTCCTCGAGGACTCAACGCTAATTCGTGTTTCTCGTATTCGCTTTCTGCACACATTCGTACATCGTTCTGTATATATTTTGCTATTCGGTATCGACATCGGTTCCATTCGTCACGATTAGCTCGTTTGTAACTCGTTACAGGCGTATCGAGACTCGGTTCACCGATATGCCACCGTTGCGGCACTCGCGCGAATCATGATCGCTCGCGGTTAAGTACGGCGACTCGGAACAAACGGAACGAAAGTCGCGAAGGTGCGCGCCCGATCGGTTCAAAAGATCGTCGGATCGGTACGGCACGGAAATTGACGTGTTCGGCTCGAATCTAAGCTGGTTCGTACAGACGATCGTCGCTGATCGTTACATGGCTCGTTTACGTCGTACGTTCGCAAGAATCGAAAGAACGATCTTACAATCTACGAATCGACGAATGTCTACGCGCTTTGGCACCGTCTCGCGGCTACGAGACTTTCTCGCGGGAGAAGCGGACAAATCGGAAAGAGGTCATCGAGTTCTTCCATTTTTATCTTTAATCAGTAATTCCAACGGGTTTCAACGTGCAATGTTACCCTTACGACTCCTGAACTCCTTTCGAAACGTCAGTCGCGGATCTCTTTGCTTAATTTTCTCTTTCTCGTCAGTCTCGACGCTCTCATAATCGCATTTAATCGCCGCCTAATCGAACTTCGTTCGAGTTCCAAGAAGCGCGGGATTTCTCGTCGTTCGAAACGCTAATTTCGATGTAAAAAATTCGCACGAGGCGGAAGTTAGTCCATCGAGTAGTCTATAACACGCTGTTCCTCGGTGTTGTACAGAAGTTGCGCTCGCACGCGAGTCACGCGAACGGTGCTGAGAGTCTTAACGTGCTATTTAGCGAGAGCGAAGGATTAAACGGCGAAGAGTAAACGGTAATAGCGAGCGACGATGATCTATCACTCGACGACGATCTCTAGTCGTCACGAGAAGACTATCGAGTTTGATCGATGCTTTTAATTAACTTGGAAACAGTCGGGTGTTGCGCTCATGCTCGCGATAACAGGCAGTACCCTCGGTGTGTAGCAGAGACCGGTAGCGAGAACGGGGTACGAGAATGGAAATGGCGACTATTAAAAAGTTTCGACAACCATCGGGGCTTGCGATCGCGCTTCGTCTATTCGAGCGAACGTCTCGATCGCGTCGATCTCGCTGCTCCGCTCGAATAATCGAATCACGATACTTGCCCACGCACGTATCGATATCTTCGTCATACAGTTTTGTACTCGATCGACTTTAAAACTATCGCTGTGAAGTCCTTTCCATCCTCTTACGCCTTTCTCGCTCAACGCAGCGAACGTGTTTAACAATGTTTGACAACGTTTAGCTAGGTAGGAGATCGAAGATGATTCTAGAGTACAAAAGATCTCGCCGAGAATAATTCGCGAATCATTCCTGTTAATACTATCGCATGTAGCCTATTTTTCCGCACGGACACGCGTACCGATTTCCTCGCTGGATCGTTCCTCTCGCTCGCGGCTGTGATCGAGCAGCGAGTGCCCGGATGGCGCTCGAAGAAGGTCGATTACCACTACGCACGTACACTGTATACAGATATAAGCGTCATTCCCATCTTCTCTTTTTGTTTCTCAATTATATATTACACTTTAGTCGAATAAGTCTAACGCGACAGGCGCGACCGCGCGCGTCCAATGAATTATGGTAACGTGTATACAAAGTACAGTGTATTACTTTCAAAAAACAATTGACGACCGCGAAAGTTGCACTCTTCGCGGTTTTATTTCTTCCATCTTCCTGTATCTCGTTTGTTATTCTGCTTTTCTTCTTCCTCTTCTTTCGTTTCTTCTGCTTTCCTCTCTATCCCGTTTTCTTAACGATTATTTGTTTACGTTGGTTTTCTCTTTTTCGTTTTACATCTACCGCGTGAAGCGATACTGCGAACGACGGAAATGATACAGAAATCGAATCGAACACGCTGCGTTCGTGATTCGAACGCGGGAAATAGACTAACGAATCGTTTGCTGGGACGATTCGACGCGCGGCTACCGCGATC